GACATGTCTAACGCCTGGTTTAGTAAAGCACTCGTCACATGAGTAAGTCTTCATCTGCCTTTTGAGTAGGTGCTTCACTGCCAGCGAATTCAGAGGAAGCAGTGCCAGTCCCAAAGATTTCCTAGCTTCAAAGCTTTACTGCATTAGTTACTGCAGCACCCCAGCCCAAGTGTCAGAGATGCAAGGAAAAACAAAACAAAACAAAGTATGAAACTAAATTATGTAAATACAATGAGTAAGCCAGAAATTGTAATTTCACAAAAACAATTTTTACATTTCGTTGTTATTTGCTGCTCTAAATCTGTAAAGACCATTGACATCTTCATAAGAGATACTGTCCAGTGCCTTATGCACAACTCATATAGGAAATGCAGGAACACCGTTGTCATCTATAGCCACATCAAGAAGCTTGCTTAGCGAACCATCACCAAAGAGTACCTCCAGCTAGTAACAGTTGAAAGTCTCTGCTGGTAATGCTGAGACACATTACACATGGTGTAAAGGGCATGAAAAAACAACTCTTTTTCACATAAAAATTCATCAGACCAACCGTTCTAGAAGGAACACAAGAAACAGTCTATTTGTACTGCTCTCTCACCTGCCTTTCTTCAACCTGACTCCTGCTTCTGCTTTCTTTAATGGGAAGAGCCTGATGACCAAGCCCAGACTACACAAGTAAATTCAAGCATGGCTTTCTTGGCTAATGCCTTCACACATGTTCAAGCTGTGGTTCTGGGATTCACCAGTCACTGTTTGCAGCTCCTCAGAAGAGGACCCAGAAAAGCAGATTCATACACACTACGAAACAATCATTTTCAGCATCATTATCTATGTCAGCTCTCACTTTTGGCTTCCTTATGATCAGTAGCTTTTCTTCTAAATCTTATTTCCTTTTTTAAAGCATTTTCTCTTAACAGTGGTCGCTACACATCTTCTGCCATTACCTTTAGTCTACGCAACTCAAACTCTCATCAGTTCTCTGGTCTCCTCAAGACGTAGTTCAGTAGGAGAAACAAAAAAACAGAAACAGCAGGAAGACAGTTACTGCACTTTGGGTGAAGATTCTAACATTCCCACATATGTCTAGGACACATCCACACAGGTATGTTTGTGCTAGTACTTGAGTTTTTTCTCAGAACCTGTTGGAGACACTAAGTGGGCACTCCACTCCAGAGTAGGCAGATGTTTTAAAGTACAGAAAAAAATTCTGATTACTGAAATGTGTTCAAAACATCAAAAGTGTTAAAAGCTAGGTCAAGTGAATCCCTCATAAAGACCACTCTTACGAAGCAGAGAGCAACATGAGTCTGCAGTGGATGTCCAGCACTACAGTGAGTAGCTTAAACACGTCACTGGAAAATGCAATGTTTGTTACCAATGAAGGACAATTGTAAATAATTATTTCTTCAGCTGTTAAGGCTTTGGGCTTTTTTTCTGGTACTGCCCTTTCAATTCCTCTATCCCCTCCCACATTCTGCTATTTTTAATATATAGCCAATACTACCAGATGTGGCTTTGTCATCTGCCACCAATACACGACCACCCTTTTCTGATGAGGTTTCTGCTACTTCTAATATTTGGGTTATATCTGAGGTTTCTGGCATCAGAAAAGGTAGGAAGTACAGAAAGAGGTGTTAAAACCAAAGTCTGAACTAAGACTCCAAAAAATTTAAACAGTTCTTCCATCATGTTTTTAGTTTAGATGATAAACTAAGCTAAATAAGCTAAGGGAAACTAAGTCATATGTGCTGATCTCTCTCTCTCTCAAAAAAAAGAGAAATAAAAAGAAATTAAAAATACAATTATTGAAAAGTATACTGTTACCTTGCTTTGCGAAAGGATTTTCTGTGTTTTTAGCAACAGAAAACAAGTATCATTTGAAAGACTGAAAACTAGGGTTTGTGGAAGGGGGAAAAGGTGATTTGACTTTTTTCTTCTTTTTGCACTTTATCACGAGATTCCAGCGCTCTCAGCCCCAAAGAACAGCGTCTGTCAGACTGGCATGCATCACTGACAAAAAATGTAATATAAACAAAAAATGAAATATAAACAAGCCTGCAGATGGAAAGAGGAATTATAGAAACACCTCTGAGCTGCAGAGGGATGCATGAATAAAAATCCTTACAAGATGCATTTTTCAAATATTTATCCAATTACCAATGCATAAGTGACCAAGCAAATGGCCCTCTGGCTCAACATAGGAAAATAATTCATTAAGACAATGATGCTTGAAGGGACAGGTTTATTACATCTCCTACACCTTTTTGTTTCTGAGCCCGTGACCAAAGCAATAACGAAAACCTTAATCCAGAGAACATTTACAGCAAATGTAGTTTCAGGTTCTGAAATGAAAAATACACTGTATTTGTGCTGTTAATTAAACTGCTATTTGATTCTCCTCCCTTCTCACACCCCAGGTGATTCTCTAACCTTGCAATGGCATTTTTCATACAGTAATGCTTAAAAAAACTACATTAAACACAACACAGTCCTAAATAATAATTAATTTTTAATTACATGGTAAAGAATATCTTGCAAACAAAAGACACTCATTAAGATTTACGGACAGGTACTTATTTTTGGCAATCCTGGAACAAACCAGAAGAAAAAGCAAAGAATTATTCTATAACCATGAGGGAAAGAAATATCCACCTAAATGTAAAGGATTCATACATCAAAACTTAAACTAAAGAAAAAATCCACACTTACAGCAGATTTTTTTTTTTTAATTCTTAGTGCAAGAAACATAACCAAGTTAATCACAGAATCAGTACTAATTAAGAATATGGAAAATTCTCCTATACAGAGGTAGAGTCCAGTGCACAAGGCTAAAACGATATTCAATAGTCTAAACAAGACTGAGCCAGGTTTTACGGAATCCACTTTTTAAAGTATCAGACTGTATGTACATACATACAATAAATAGACTATACAATCTTTAAAGTAGTTTAATAAACTTCACAAAAATTATAGTAGATGCATTGAGATCTTTACATAATCCGAAGTTTGTATCTCTATCACCCAGAAATGGATAAAACCAATATTCCTGATACCAAGTTACATGGAAAATAGTTTAGCAAAGTGTTGATAAATCAAAATATTTTACGTATTTTAAAGCCTAAATTTATGCTTATAAAGGATGAATTTCAAATGCTCTGAAAATGTTCCTTTTGATACTATCTGTAAAGAGGTTTTAAATGCTGCAATTTGCATTTGTACTGTTATAAACACTTCCCTTACATTCCATGTTCAAGGGAAAAATGGGACATGGATACTCACAGTTCCGATGCATTGGCACAAGAAGCGATGAGAATTAGATTATTTTAAAGGCCCAAAAGACATCAGGAGAATTTATGGACGAAACCTTCATGTCTCAAACTACACAAATCACATTAGAAAGTTAACAGAAAACTGTTTGGTTTTACTACTTCAATCCTGTCAGTGCCTCTCTGCCTGGAGGCATCCGATTAGCATTGCACTGGAAGCTGTGCATCTCTGGGCCCTAGGTCTGCTACAAGCCCATAGGGCTTAATAAAACAAATATGGAATCTTTATGGTTTACCACAGTAGTGCATAAATCGGGGCCGGCTGTTGCCATTCATTTTAGTGATAGTCGCAAAGAAAGGATTTCAGGGAACTGAGAGTTTTCAGCTACAGCTTTCTAAACTGTGCAAAATAAAAAAGAAACGGAAATCACACTTAATTTCTATAAAAGGCTCTTACAAATTCCAAGGAGGCAACAGCCACAGTAAGAGGGAACTAGTAACAGTAACAGAAGAGCTTCATCAGAGTTGAAAATTATGTTCACAGTCCCGTTACTTTTAATTGCTATAAGCACCTGCACCGAAAAACATGAGGGTTCGTAATTAACCTTCAAAACTGAATCTACTTGTGACAAATACCTTGTTAAGATTTCCATTCTGCTCTTCTACAGGCATTCTTACTGGAACAATTTTTTTTCTTATTTTTTATTTTATACAAACAGACTCACTTTGATTTAAAGTAAACATACAAAAATTGAGAATATTGCTTGCAACAATAGACCTGGAGGTGAAGGAATGAACTAGTCAGGCCATAAACAAAAAATCTCCCTCAAAATGAATTCTGCTAAACTTCTAATCCTATGAAAATCTGCAAAAAGGACCACAAGATCTGTTGCAAATTTGAGAGATTTGGCCCAAGTCCTATCATCATCATCTGAATAACTGTATCTTTATATTAAGGAAAAATAAATGATTCCAAGAACTCAGGAAGGCACACGCACCAAAGTATACTATAAATAAAACACATCATGAAATTATGAAGATCTTCTGATCCCTGTACACACTTTTGGTTCAGCACTATGGTCAAGTTCTCTCTTTTGAAATACAATAAAAGGCATACAAGAAATATAACATATGCATAATTATGAAGAATAATGCTAATAAGACAGCTTAGAGAGAAAAGTGCAGTGAGAAAACCCAACACTATTTATTAAGGGGCTTGTGCTACTGTAAATACAGACTTCGTATTTGCTGCTGTGCAAGGGGGAAGAATTTATCCTGGGAAGCAGCAATGAAGAATGCAAAAAAAACCCAACAAAAAATAGAAAGGATATTAAGAGAAACCTTAAAGACGGAACTCTCCCAACTTCATTCCTGTAATGCAGAGTCATTTGACTACGCGGTTTGTTTTCACGCTGCCATTTCTCTTCGTGAGTATACCATATTAGAAAATGGCACAGTTCCTGAATATTTTTCTGCCTCTACTTCATTTTTTTTGTTTCCTCTTCCAAGCACCTAATTTGCTGTTTCCTCATAAAAAGGGTAAAGCTGTTAGTAAAAGTGAGAAAAAAATTGTTGCCCATCTTCTCTCCCGAACACTGATTTCTCCATTTCTCCTTCACTAAGTATTTTACTCGTGTGCTACACAATGGGGAGGCACTGTAAAGGCAGCTTGACAGATTTAAAAATTAAAAAAAAAAAAAAAATCAAAAGTCGTCTTTTTTTTTACCCCTCTGTCCCCAGCCCACCCCAAAAAAATGGATGGATGAAATAGTATGTCCGTAGGAATATTCCAGTCTCCTCTGTTAGGAGATAATAGCAGGGGACCATCTAACCACAGTCAGATTGTCAGCACTGACTGACCGCTTCTTTGCAGCTTTCCTGAAGTCCTTATATTTATCTTCACACAAGCGGGAAATGGCCTGTAAGACAAAAGAATGGCAAAACCTCAGTTGCACTGACCACAGCAATACAGGTAAAATAAAATCAAACCTGGATTTCTACACATAGCTAGAATTACAAAAAGTCACTTCATTAAACAAAACACATGAAGAGCTTCTCCCCAGATCCTCTTACTCACTTCACTGGTCTTAAAAGAAAGAAACACCCTGCCACTGCATTGCCCGCTACAGTCAGTTTGGAAGGACTCAGTGAGCAGATCCCCAGCCTTTTCCTTACAGGTTAACCATCACAAACCCCATTGCAGTGGCTGACAATCCTTACCCACTGCTATATGGTAAACATAAATAAAACAACTGTAGAAATTGTAAGTATATTTGGAGAATTCATAAAGAAGATGGCTCTTATTGTTTTTATTTCTTAAAATTTTCTGGTATTTTTCTCCACTGATAAATGGTCTGGCAGAATACTCACCCTGTTTTTCCAGAGCTGACGTTTACCTGCCTTTCGAAAGGAGATGGTGCTTTCTATGTGATCAGGCTATCTTATATGGTGCCAGTAAAACAAACAAAAAAATCCCACCAAACCACCATCAAGAAACCAGTTGCTACTTTTCAGCTGGAACCTGAATCTCCTTTTGTTAAGACAATTCCTGAACAGAGTTTTCTTTCTTGGTGCACATGAAGAGAACAACAGAATAAAATAAAAGAAATATTCCTGTTGCATTGGAGACCATAACTTAACTCGCTTATAACTGCTTAATAACATTTTATTTAGTTTAACCAGGAACTCGGACTAAGAAAGGTTATGCAATTCAATCGGATTTCAAATCCAACAGAGGAAAAGAGTTCAATCATGGACTCATGTGCCAAGGCATGGCTTGCAAATAGGTACAGAGGTGGAGCTCAGCTTCTTTCAGCTGCCAAATCTGGCATCATCTTAGACATCTAACAGCCAGAGAAGGTAATCACTTCCAAATTGCCTGTTTTGCAGGAAAATTTCTGTTCTGGCACATGGTCAGAAAAAACGAATTTTTTCTTGGAAGTGGCACTTAATATTTGGCATCTCTGGTCTCTGGTGATTCATCATATGGATAAGAAACACATTCACTGTTGTTTAAAGCAATCCTCTATGTAAAGAGGCCTCTTCATTTGCAAATAATTTACAAATTTTACATTTGGAGCCTATTTGGCAAGTTAGTGAGCCAACCTGAGCTTAACAAATGGGGAAACAAGACAAAAGCTGAAAATCGTAAATATTTATTATTTTCCTTCAGCTAAAATAAATCAAAACAACTTATAAACAACTTTCTGTCACCTGATATTTCTGTTGCTTTTATTGCTAAAAAAAAGAAACCGATTTCTCACAGTTGCAAGGGACCGTTTCTCACATTAAATCAAAATATTCTTAAAAACAGCAACAGTATTAAATCATGTGAAATTCTGTTGGACTTGACTGTAATATCTGTAATCACCTAGAAAAATGCATAAATATGTATTATCCCTTTATATATATGCACACAGAACTGGAAGCCAGTTCCTCTGTTCAGTCTAGATGAGACTTTGTCACTGGTGAAAGGAGTGGGTAAGGAGGGGAGAGAAAGGCCACAGTATAAATTTTGGCTGCGTGCATATGTTTGTGTAGGGCAGGAAAGCAGCAGGGCTGGCTACAGCTTCACTGCTGGGAATGCACAAAGGCTCACAACTGCAAGTGCTGCAACTCCCCAAAAAATGGACAGACGAGAGAGAATTTTTAAAAAAATCACTAGGACAACCAGAAGTTGTGATGATGGGGGTTCTCCTTACTTTATGGAAAATGAAAAGAAGAGCCTAGCCCTGACAAAAGAGCAGGGGAGTTCTGTTCTCCCTTCACTTCTTGGCTAAGAGGGTCCTGAACTTACCAAACACGCAGGACACAATCAATCATTGTGACAGCAGGAAGTTGGAGGGATATAAAGACATTTCTCTACTTAAACTTTCATCTTCTTCTCCTCTTTTTGGTCTGTTTGATCTATGGACTATACCACTTTAGGGTCAAGAAAACCCTTTGAACTATGTGCTCAAGCGCTATCTGAACAATAAAAAGCTCAGACAACATACAGTCAGTTAAATCTCTTACAAAATCTAGTCCTGAAATGAGCACAATGCTAAGATCACAAGCAGAAGTAGGGTAAGCATGTTTTGTGGACTTACCCCAAAGAGCAGAATCTGACTCATATTTAGCTCAGTACACAGGAGAATAACCAGGTGTGAGAGTAGGAAATTACAAAATAGTGGATTATGGTTGGATACCCAACAGGCTTCCTGGCAGAAAAATCTCCCATATTAAAAAATAGTTTCTCAGAAGAAGCAAAGGAAGCCTTGACATTTGACAAAATTAAAAGGAAGGAGAAAACACACTACAACATATGCCTGTTGGAACAAACAGCATTGGCAGGTGGACAGACTGGATGATCTAATGAAAGGTTATTTGCCATTTTTAACTTGCATGATTCCATACAACAGGAACAAGAAAAAGAGGGATTGTGAAAATGGTTTCTGGCCATTAGGTGGACTAGTCTAACAAATTTAGGATGCTTTTAGGGCATAGGCTGATGAAAAGTAAGGAAAAATTACTTTCATATAGTCATCTAAAAGACATTTCTGCCCTTTTTTTTTTTTCTCAGCACAGGTATGTCAACCTCATGATATCTGCAGAAATAGCAATGTATATTCTGCTATGTCAGATCTAATGCTCCTGCTTTAGTTATATAAAAGAGCTTGAAAATGCAAAAGCAGCAAAAATGCGTTATATTATAAACATTTCTCTATGCAAGACCTTTTCTGATTTCCAGTGTCGGTAAATAAGTTGTTTTAAATCTTAGGAGCGAGCAAGGTCCTTTCAGTTTACCAGACAAGGCGAATCCTTCCACTGCATACATACACTTGCTATGAGTCTGCCGTCTTTCATCACCGACTGCAGCTTTTCTCTCAGTACCAAAAATACCACAGCCTGTGTGGTGCTACATGTACTCCACCTGACAATCCAGGCAGCTGTCTTAAAAACAGAGAACTCCGGGCTGAACAGCACATGAGAGACCTAGAAAAGTGCTGCAGCTGCATTTTGATAACCCTTGGCAAGCTAAATGCTTAACTGTGCTCAAGGAGCTAGGCTACAAATTATGCTGTCTACTAGTTTCAAGGGCACACTAATGACAACCGAGTACTGCCAGGGAACAAGGCAATTCCCATCATGTTTCCTTCCTTCTGGCCCCAGGACAGAGGCAGGAGCTGTAGACCGAGTTGGTTTCACAGCAGATACTCATCCTCTTCCCTAAAGAAATCCTATTTGGCTAGCAGGGCTACAGCCAACTTCTGCTAGCAGCACAAAGCACCTCCAACATGGCAAAATTTTTCATAAGAAGAATTTACTGAGCTTCAGTAAATAAGAGTTTCAGAGAAAACTATTCCATTATTTGTTTTTAAATATGCCTTCTCTTTACTAAATACAGAAGAACCACCAGTATTCTCTGGGTATTTACAGTAACTTCCTATTTTCTTTTCTAATAAGGTTTTAGGAGCTACTGCTGTTACCTTCATTTGTAACCTGCTGTTATACATTGTGTGAGAGGTAGACTGACAGTGCTGGGAAACACTGCATATTAAATTATCTTCAAAAAGGAACTAAATTTTAATATATGTAATGGCACTTATTATCAAGACTCACCATCTAATAATTTAGTAAAATACCTCTTTTAATTTAAGACTAAAATCCCAATGAATTTTTAGTTTTTAAATTTTTCTTCCATAGAAGCAAAATGTGATGCAAGTTTACATCATACTCCATACACAGAATTAAGTTATATTCTTATTGGAGCTATCTGCAAAATTTAGAGAGAGTCTTTAGAAAGAATCAGAAATGTGACTTTCATGAAATCTGCTTGGATTCTTTCTCCACCGCTTTCTGTTCCCATTACAGTCACAAACAAGTCAATTAACCTTCCCACGCACCATTTCCCCCCACAAAAACATGCACAGGACTGCCTGCCTGTTTCACAGGAGCACAGAACATGCAAAGCTCCCCCTAACCCACAGGCAAAAAATCGCCAGTGCAAATCTGTTGCGTAATTAAAGACATGCCACGTTAACAGCATTCAGCATCTAATGACAGTCTTCAAAATCAGTGACAAAATGTGTGCACGCTCATGCAATAATGCCCCCATTTGAAAAAATTCACATCCAAAAGCCCAGGAAAAACTGATTCCAGTCTTGCAAAGTGCCCAAAATTGGCTGATGACTTTAAACTGCTCCTGCGTCTGTGGGAATTCATAGTGCCCTGCATTTCACAGGTCCAGACCATCCGACATAGTGCTTTCTGCACATTCAGGTCTCATAAGCATTCATGATTTATTCACTAAAGGTGCGTGCTCATTTCTGTTTTCCCATTGCAGAGAATAACACCAGGTAAGATAACAGGCTTGGATCCACGTGCAGTGGAGCAGTAGCAAGTAACAAGCACATGGAATAGTTATTTTCAGCACTACTTGTTAAAATTCTTTTAAGGTAGATAATGAGTTTTAAGAAATCAAATGAGCACACAAAACCAGACTGTGTACAGTCATTGTAAAACTTGTGGATACTTTCACAAGATCAAGTCTGGCAACGGGAACTGAAAAGGAAATGGAAAGCAAGACAAGGTATGAAGCAAATCAGGCCAAAAAGCTGTCCCCATGTCCATGAATACCAAAAGCACAAATGAAAGAGTTAAGAAAATCAGGGCACATGATATTCTAATATCTTATGGGAATAGGTGATCCTATTCTAGTGTAGGTGATCCTGCTCTGGCAGCGGGGGTGGACTAGATGATCTTTTGAGGTCCCTTCCAACTCCTAATATTCTGTGATTCTGTGAATATTTGGGAATAGATGTGAGAAGAGAGAAACAACACAAAAATTTCAAATCCTCCTACATATGAATCTCAGCAACCTAAAAAGAAAGTGTCTTACCTCGAGTTTATATGCCCTGTCCCTGCTGAGGGGCTCCAAAGGAAAACTCAAGTTATTCGCTTCTGCCAGGGAACGCAAATCAAAATAATACTTGGCATAAACACTGGAGGGAACATTAATATTGAACTGCAACAGCTCAAGAAACTGGCGTTCCAGCTCATTCCTGTAGAAAGAAGATAAATGTGAAAACATATTTCAGAGCGTGCATTCTGAATGTAATTTACTTTAAATTGCAAATGGTAAAAACCAAGTTCATTTCTTGTTGCTGCCAGACCCAACTATCCTCGCCTAAGATTTGACTTAGTCCGCACCAGTGAGGAATATGAAAGACACTGCACCTTGCAGCTGCTACTGCAATGCCAATCAAATCGAGACACAAACTGTTGCGAGTGGAAGGGCACCTTTATCAGTTCGGCTAATACAATCCGAGAAAGAAAAGCTAGCAGGAAAAAAAAAATCTTGTAGTTTCTGCTGTACCTCCACTAGGTGGATCTGTAAACACAGCTATGCACACTCAAAATGCAGACATGCCCTAAATTTGTCAGACTTCTCTCATAAATGCCGCAGATTACTCTAACACTTAAATTACTGGAGAACTTATTTATCCTCTTCAGCCTTCCATAATCAATCATTTAGAAATAGTCATGGGAAACCTGGATTTTTCAGCATACTCTCTTATCTTTCTTTATGAACAGAATGAAGCCATTTTTCCCTATGACATGCAATCAAAATTCACAGTGGTGATCATTTGTTTTTCACTATCTAAAGGAGATGCATTTGTCAAAATACCTGATAGGAAGAGAGTCCTATTTGAGCTCCAACCGCAATAAAACTTTGGTACAGCAATACATTATTACCTACATGAGTATGTTAAAAAGTATGTTAAGAAATAACTAAATCAACAAAATTAAGGACTGGAAAATTTCATAAATTGCACTAGACATCCTACATAATACTTATGCCAGGACAAATGATCAAAACAGTTATTTCAAGATATGAGAAATAAATAAATGGGTGGTAAAAGCTGTACATGTTTGCTGAAGAGTATATGGACAGCACTCCTGTGTTACCAGCAGGTATTGACTGACTATGATATTCCATTTAAGTTACATTTTGAATGCAGTGTAAGTGTGCAAGGAATGTGCAGGCAGTTTGCAACAGAAGAGGAAGGATCAGAGAACAGAAAGTACTGCTGTAGTGGTTTTTCAGCACTGAATGGTTTCTCTTTTTGCTCTTTACTCTTACATCATAATCATTGTCTTTCCTTACCTTCACACTCTGCCAAAATTCTGTGTATAAATAATGATAAATATTAATTAACATTAAAAGACTATCTAAACACTGGATATGGACTATTTGGCATGAATTCACACTGTTGAAGAGTCTAGCTTTTAAAAATTTCAAATTTAAAAAAATTACATTTTAAGACTTCCTTTTATACTCCCAAGATTTTACTTTCTGCAAGCTAAGCCTAAAGGTCTATGTTAATGGATAATATAAAGACTGTTTAATGGAGAAAGACATTGGCTGTACCTCTTTTGAAGAGCATCTCCAAATCTTTAAGAACAATATTTACTCTCACATTCTTACTATGCCCTGTTCCCAGATTTGAAGGTTAGATCAGCAGAATAACTACAGCTGAGAAAGAACAAAAAACCCCAGGTACTTCTGATTTGAGTTAATGTAATATAACCAACCAACATACCCTTCTTCCTCCATACATCCACATGAGACTGCTTTAGCATAGCCTTTCCTGTGCCCACTCCCCAAATTCATACAGAAACTCAAGGTAATGTTGCGTGGCTACAGACACACACTGCACTTCAGCCCTCCCAGTCCTCTGTCAGCTTTCAGGCACAGCTCAATGTGCTGCTGGTGACGAACAAAACCCAGAAAGGTCTGCACGATGCTAAGCAAGATGCAGTTTTGCTGACTGATTCACAGCAGCTGAAGATTTTGACCTAGAGGTTTTTCTGCCTTATTAATAGAGACAACGAAAATCCCCATCCTGTGTAGAGCTAGACACCTTGAAATCATAATACCATAGTGTCCCCAACCACCCGAAAAGTAAGAAAGAAAAAATTCCAGCACACTAGGGATAGAAGAAAAAAAAAAA